TTGATGAAGGTACTTTAGAGTAATGCTGGATGGTATTGATGAAATTCAATATTACAGTATTTTCTGAAAATATCATGGGATCAAAAGATAATTAAGTTGGCATTAATGATGTGCTGGTACTGCTGAATGTCAAACAAACCTGACAGCTTGGTCGAGAGTCTTTTCTTAAGATTTCACCAAAGGGAAACGTGTGTAGTATTGTAAACAATAAAAAAAAAAAAGAATATTTCCAGAAAGAAACTACTGTTTTTCATTTTATGTGCTTTAAATTGTTCTTTTAAAATAGTCTGAAGCATCCAGTAATGACATGCATTGCAGTTAACTGTTCGCTCTTGAGTACCAAGAGTGAGGCGTATAAAATAGAGCAATAAAGGTAAAAACAAACAACAAACTATTTTGTAATATTGCAAAAAATCAAACCAGATTGGAAATCAGTGTCATTGTATGTCAACATCTCTGTATACCGATTCTATCACCCAGGAATCTTAATACACTGGATATTGATCTAATAATTCGTCTTTTCCCGACACGTGTAATTTGTCTTGCCTGACGCAAGGAATCATCATTTGATGAAGGTACCTTGCGGTGTTTTCTTCTAAGTGCTCACTTTGCTTGTTAGAGGGCCAGGGTGTGCTATCATTCCAGCTCCATGAGCTGCTGCGAAACCCCATTTAAAACACGGCCCTTAACAAGTCAGCAGATAGGAGATAACGAAGTGAGGCGGTCTCCCATGTCAAAATGTTTAGACAATGTTAATGATGCTAGTAGGCTCCTTGGCGCTCTCCCCCTCATTCCCCCCATCTTCAGCTGAGATCCTGTGTTACCCCCAGCTGCTGCCAGATGTCAGCCATTATGCTGGAGGAACAAGAGCTGGCTCGGGCTGCACACAGTTCTGCCTCAGATCTCAGCCACAGCCCCTCAGCTTTTAATTAACTCAGCACCACCACACCAAGGAGAGGGAAGAGAGAGAGAGAGCCTGCAGCACACGGCTGCTGTCTGTGCTCCCTCGACTATTTGAGAGAAGGAAGGGGGAGAGCGCGTGTATGTGTAGGGGTTAGGGATGAAGATATTTTGCCCAAAAAAGGCAAGTAGCCACAATGCTTTCAGCACATTGCTGTGCGCAAGTGAATTGTTGTAGTTATAATGAAATTCTAGCTGATGGTTAATTGCCACATAAATATTTGCGATTTGCAATTAACTGTCTTTTTTTGTGATTAGTTGTCTTGCTTCTTGGCTGTTGATACTTAGTAGCTGCCAGCTGAAGGCAGACACACCTTGAGCTTAAATAAACGAACGCTACTCACCTCTGCTCTCTAAACATGCCGAGGGGGCTTGTGGGCGATGCCTTTTCAAACTCTGTCAAGCCTGCTACTTCATTTTTGTCTATAGAGCAACGTGCAGTGTGAATGAAAGGCACTCCTATTGCCTGTGCAATGGGCTTGGTGTTTTTAAACCACACATATGAGCTGTAGAAGCTGCTGACCAGTCAGTATTAAGGATGCCTTCATCCGAATCATGCATCAAATATGGAGGAGAATCTAGTTTCTAGATTTTCTAGAACACTCGATTGAAGGATTTCCAAGGTGTTGCACCTCTCGTTTCAAAAGGCATTGTCTGAAAGCCCCTAACAGTCAGAGGTTTGTAAGATCTATGACCTCTCAATGAATCTGTCTGATACTTTCTCTTTTTTACATGTATGTGCCTCAAATCAAGTAGTGAAAGTGCACCCAATTCACATTGTTTTGGTATGAACATAGCACTGCTGTCAGAACGAAACCTTCTATCTCCATTTTTCACTTTTTGACACACTTTGAAAGCACCTGTTTCCCTTTACATTCTTTGTAAATTTCATGAGGAACGGACCAAAAGAAACAGCCCAAAATGACTTGGAATGAAGTCTGTTTACATTGACTTTAATTAAAAGTTAAGTATGTTTTTTCCTTCTCCTGTAAAGTTATTTTTTAGAGATACAAGGTTTGTTCCAACAGCTGCGGTATGACTGTGAAAACTGACAACTGCGGGAAGTAATTGCGGTCAGTTGAATTAAATGTGATTAGAGCAATTTGTAATAATTGTGGTTGTCGTTTCTTTTTTTTTCTTCTTCTTCTTCTGTTTATCTCTCATTTTCACGCATCTCCGTGGCTTGTTGTACCTCCACCACTTGGCCTTGCATGCAGGCCGGACAGATTGCGCACTACTCCTCTCAATCCTCCTCTTGCCGAACGAGGCCAACCCCCTGGCTATAATTAGATTAGTGCCTGTCACTGCCTTGCTGCAAATGTCCCACACCTGTGATCCTCACACACGTTCGTTAAGGGAGTGGAGTAATGAGATTAGCCTTCCAGTGAGCCCACACAGCTGGAGCGCGGCATGGGCACCCAGCCTAGCAGCAGGGAGCCCAAGTCCTCTACAGACCTGCTGGACTCTTACACCCTGTGGATTTTATGGGAAGGCCAGGATGGATGTGCTCAGTGAGAGGCACTGTTCTGTACTCACTGTTAAATGGGGTTTAACGTCATTAGTAAACATTGCCAGGGGATCTGTAAGCAGACTTGCTGATCAGGCGTGGAGTAAGTGATCACGTTAAGCACGCTGTTGTGAAATGACTCCCTTCTTACAAAGGCTGACCAGCTGATGTTGAGCTGGATATCATCACCTGTGATTTAAAGCAGTGTAGCATCATGATATACCTCACTTACTGTGAATGAACTCACAGACCAGGAAGAGATGTTTATAGCCACGCCTATGCAGTCATGTCATTATCACCTTACCTGTTGTGGTTGTTGTTGTTGTGGTTGGTTTTTTTAAACTTTAATTCAGTTTGATTTAGTAGTATTAGCAGGTGAAAGTGGCCCAAATCAGATTTTTCTCACCAAAACTGATCGAGCTCACCATAAAAAGGCCTCGGTCACTTTTATTTTTTTTTAAATTATAATTATTCAACAATATCACATATATATATATATATATATATATATATATATATATATATATATATATATATATATATATATATATATATATATATATATATATAATTTTGACGCTGCAGCCTTATGGCTGTTTTGTTCAAAATATCTTCGAATGTGGAGCAGTTGCAATAAGTGCCTTGTAATTTTTTGGTACAGAAATAGCAGGCTAAATGTTTGAGGTCTCAGCAGCGCCAAATGATGATGAATGTCGAGTTGGATTGACGTAAAAGTCGCATGAATTCCATTCTGGCTGTTCAGACTGAGTCGCATTGCCGCATATCGGATATGTATCGGATTTCAGTACCACATATGAAAATGTCTCAAATTGGAATTGAAAATGTCAGATTCAGTGTGTTTTGCTGTTCACACTGACACACAGACACACATCTGTGTCACACATGGAGAAAAAGATTGGATTTGGGCCACTTTTGCCTGCTGTGTGAACTTATTCTTATGCTTATTCTTGCAAAAGGGAATTGTTCTCTGTTTTGGTAGATGTTGTTGGATGTATCTAGAGTAGGGCTGTGCACAAATACTGAAGCACTCACTCGACCGTTCCAGGTGCTGGTATTGAAATACTGAAACCACTATTTGTTGGGAATGTAATGCTGTACATTTTCAGGTTTGATATGATTTTCTGATTCTGATCTCAAGATTCAGAATCACACTTTATTTCGCCATGTACGTTACACACACAAGGACTTTGTCTTGGTGAGTGCACGTGTGACGTGTAACATACTGACCAGACCAAACAAGCACACAATGTTAACAACTGTTTAAGTAAGCAACAAATAAAATTAAAAGCAGAACAAAGGATAAGAGATTTTGATTTGATTGGCGATATTTCATGTGCAAAAAAGTCTTGATTTTGCAGGACTCATGATCTCGAACTAATTATGTACCACAGATTGGTTTGTCCCAAAAGAAGTTCTGAAGTGGAACCTTGTCCACGCTTGACTCACTGGCCAGTAAGAACAGAAACCCAAAAATCACAACCCATGCAGTTTATAATCTTAAAAAGACTAGTCAACGGCTTGTCCGCATCATAATATACTCTGAGAAAATGTACTCACATGCCAAGTTTTAATCATTGACAGTGGTTTCCACCAAAGATGACAAATGAGTGTGAAGTGTGAAGGGCGTATCAGCAATACTGTCTAAAATTTTAATCCATTGTTTTTACAGATACCGTATCAAAATCATTACATCATTGCTATTTGGCTGCTGTTTATGGCACATCACAGAAAGTCAGGGAGAAAATGTACAAGCCAACAGCTGATTGAACTGCTGTTAGTTTTAGCGGGGCTGTAAAGTGTGACAGTTTTTCTCGTATTTATGCATAAGTATTATACTTTGATACACCACAAGATGAGTTCCTCCGTTATTCAGGCACAGTGATCAGATGGCCCATGGCTGTTTTTGATTGACATGATATATTTTCAAATGTACATCTCAATTTACAATTGTTCTACTGAATATTTTAGCCTGCTAGCACCAGTGCACACTTTGATACGGTTATGATACATTAATATCAAGTGAAAAGCCTGATACCCTTGAGCAACCATTTATTAAGTCGTATGCATAGTCGAATATCCAAATTAGTCAGAATGCACATCCCCACTTTTGAGCTTGTTAATTTTTGTAGTTTATGGTTGAGTTAGTGGAGTCAATGCTGTGTGAAACTCATTTAAATATACTTAGTTAATGTGGGTCATTATAGTCATTTTCGAATGTGAAGGGTTGGGCAGCATATGGCAGTATGAATAATAATGAGACCACTGAACAGTCACAAAACAGAGAAATTGTAAATCAGTGATTATTATGCAGTGATATTTGGGAAAACTTGTGTAGGAACTTAGTTGCTCAACAACTGAAGTGTGCGCTGCTATTTTCAGACTGTTTCTGGTCAGTGTAGTATTCCGCTTCAGTCTGGTGAAGGATACAGTGACTCAAAACAGATAGGTCAGGGTCAGTTTTGATGCGTTTAGCAAGTTCCTCTTTAATGTGAACTCTCGGCTGGCCCCACAGGAAGCCCAGGATAAACTCCCAGCTGGTGGCTCAGCAGGTGGCCCAGCAGTATGCCACCCCTCCTCCCCCAAAGAAAGAGAAGAAGGAGAAGCCCGAGAAGCCTGAGAAGGAGAGAGCGGACAGCGAGCGTCCCGACAGAAACGTACCTGAAGGCGAGCACCCCAGCAAGGAGAAGATCGAGAAGGACCAGCCTGACAAGGAGAAGAAGGACAGAGAGAAAGAAATCACTCCTGCCATCACCAAGAAACCCAACAGCAAAAAGACCAGGTACGGCACTTCAGCCGAGCATGTGCACGCAAGGTACTCCAACACGAATCCTTTTGTAATGGATATCATCCGCTTTGTTCTTGTGATCTCTTTACAGACCCAAGACAGACAGCCATCAAAGCCCGCCCAGCGAAAGAAACAGCATACAGTCTGGAAAATCGACCACCAAGACTAAGAACTCTCACATCTCAAGGTGCCTCATTTTTCATCTGTAGTTTAATGCTCCTTTTCTTTCTTTTCTTCCTTTCTCTTTTAAACTTGCTGTAGTGATCAAATGACCCAGCACGGAGGTTAGTGCCAGAGGAGAAATAGTTTCTCATTCCCCGTCTCATTAGGATGCTTAATGCCAGCCCATAAAAAAACAAGATGGTAGTATATTAATAACTGCAGTTGGAGATGCCTCGCGTCAGCTTGAATAGCTACTGTAAGTCATTCTGTCAGTGAACAAAGCTGGCAGACAGCTGCAGTGCAACTCAATGTAAGAGCTGCTCTGATTCACAAACGCAGCCACCCCCCCCCCACCACCCCACCCTAACGCTCCTTTCTTCCCCCCCCCACTCTCTCTGAATGAGCGTGTGAGTGCGTTATTCGTGGGCTGAGCTCAAATGAGCAGCGCAGTGTTTCACTCCCACACACACTCTACTGGCTGCCTTCCCACTGTTCTGTCTCTGCCTCACAATGCCAGCAAGGCTCAATGTGTCACATTGTCTGGGAGAGATTTGAACAACTAATACCAGTCATTGATATTCTGTGTTATCTAAATGCAGACCACTTGAGAAATAGCCTGGAAATATCTTTTTGAAATACCTGCTTTGGAGTGTTTACACACGATTGCTTTAGGAAAAAATGAATTCTTTCCTATTAAGTAGGCTAATGTTGCAGCAGAAACTGCTCACTTGCACGCATTTGGGTCACTTGAGTTTATAAGCACGCACACGCGCGCGCGCGCACACACACACACATACACACATATATGTATATGTGTGTATATGGGTCAATGTTCACACAACGTAAAGGGCAGCTGGTGTCTTGAAGTGGTGCAAAAACATGAAAAGTGAGGTGTATATATCGCTGCTGTCAGAAGAAAACCTTGTATCTCCGTTTTTGCAGTTCTTCAGTTTTTGACATTATCTGAAAATGCCTGTTGCTCTTTACATTGTTTGTAAATTTCATGAAGAATGGACCAAAAGAAACGACCCAAAATTACTTGGAAAAATGTCTGGTTCCATTGACTTACATTAAAAGTCGGTTTTTTCCTTCCCCTGCTTTCTTCAAAATTTGAAATGCAAACCATGTTTCAAACCACCAGCTACTTTTTACATTGTGATTGTGTGAACATTTTATTTTTAATAGACTGATATAAAACAGTCCAAACTTACGAAAAAAATATCTTTACTCTAAAATACATTATAAGCCAGAATCAAATTAAGTCTAAGCCTAGACTAAAAAGATTTTCTAATGGTGGTTCTCTGACACTGTAGATTAGTCCTAGATTAAACTTGATCCATGTCTAGTAAAAATGGCTCTATTTGTCCAAAGTGTGTGTAAACCTGCTTATCCAGCATTTCTTCTGAAATTGGGGGAATGAATAGGAAGATTGTCCTTCCTTTGCTTCAGTCATGAACATACTTTGGACATGTAGTGTGTATAATTTATAGGTGTACAGTTTTCTTGTTCTGACAGTGATGCGTCGGTACAAATATATTTAGTAGTCTAGTCTGTTTGTGATTGACAGACCCAAACTGAAGAACGTGGACCGGAGCACTGCCCAACAGCTGGCCATCACAGTGGGGAACGTCACGGTGATCATTACGGACTTTAAGGAGAAGACTCGTTCCTCTTCCACCTCCTCCTCCACAGTCACCTCCAGCGCAGGCTCCGAGCAACAACACCAGAGCTCTGGCTCAGAGAGCATGGACAAGGGCTCGTCACGTGCCTCCACACCCAAAGGAGACCTCTCGGTGGGGCACGACGAGTCGTTCTGAGCCTCCAACTTCCCCTTTCCCTCTGGACACTGTGGAGATGCTGGGAGCCCCAAGGGCTGGCCGATTCACAGTTCTCCCATGCCCTGCCCTGATCCCACCTCATTTGTTTTCCCATAACTGAAAGAGGGACGAATGCTCTTCATACACACACAGACCCACATGCACACACCTTTACACATGAATATTGACTTGTGCATACATACACACCCGCGCTTTCCCTCTCGATTGATTGGTGGAGATAACGACATCTCGCTGGACCTCACCCATGGATAGTCACCGTCACACCTCAGCAGCACTGGAGTAACAGCAGGGCCTCTGGGATTAGTGCCCCCTCCTTGAAGGCATCCCACTCTTGTATGTATTGTTTTATATTTGTAAGTGAATATCAGGCTGAATCAACTCTTTTTTTGTAAGAAAAAAAAACAAAAAAAGTCTGCTGTGCACAATAACCACCTACATTTTAATGATTCTCAGACCGCTACTACACTTATTTATTATCTGTTGCATCTTGATACTTTTAGAGATTTGTTTCGTTAAAGCTTTGCTAAGTAGTTCGGCTGATGGCTCCATTTTACACTTCAGAGTTTTTAAAGAGTTGAATGGATTTGCTGGAGCCTCCTGAGAAGAGAAAAAAAAAACTCTCCCATATTGGTGCTAGCTACACTGTGAATCAGTTTTCCCGCCTTGGACTGTCCTTCACACGTCAAGGTTCCTTGAGCTTAAAACCGCTTTTCCCTCAGCCTTGCATCTCCCACCTCCTCGGTGAGCGTGAGGGGAAGGCTGTCTGCTTTTCACGGTGGTTCTTTCAACCTCACATGCTCCCGGGCTGCCTGACCGATTTCTGACTTGCGCAGTGGCGCCCCAGGTCTTTAGATGCTTGTCTATGGAGCCAAGTCCCTTACACTTACTTTTGGTCGGGTTTGGTTACTTCAGAAGGCTGGAAAAGGTCAGCTGGAGTTTACAGACAATGAAGAGACATCTGGAGGAGGGCGCGTAATGTAGCGTTTGGGTTGGAAGTCCTACAGGAGGTTGCCGTTTCTTCCCAAGCAACAGTTAATGAGAAGTGTTTCACCCTTGGTTAACTTGGCTTGATGTTACTGTTTGGTTTTGTTAATGGCTTGTTAATGGCTTTGACAGAGCTTTTGGTCCATGTTTATGGCATATAGTGAAAACACTAAAAACCCATTCCATTGATTCAGATAAGTTCCTTCAGCCTAACTAGCGTGTGGTTTTAAAATAGGCCTTACCTGCCCATTTTATAATGTGCTCAGAGTACTTGAATGAAAGTTGGTGCACAGCTTCTTATGTTGATTCAATGAAGCATAGAGATAGAATGAAGACTTATGACTTATAAGTAATTCTACTGAAATATATGATCTCCAAGATGTTGCTGAAGGAAAACATCTTCAGGATGCAAGTAGGCAATTTTTTTTTTTTTTGTTGTCATTTTTGTCCAAAGCATTAAACAAACTGTGTTTGTTTTGGACAAAAATTGGTCTCACCCTGCCAAGAATGGGCAAAATTTAGTAATAATGCCCCATCAAATCAAAATATCCACCTAATTTCCCCTGGAAATTGTATTAAACCTGTATAAAGTATGTGTATATGATATGAGTTTTATTTATTGAAGGACCAAAGGAATTTGATATTGATGACATGCTAGACAAATAATTCAAAATGTAATTATCATATGTGTGATATATAATACATTTTAAATAAAGTCTAATATAATCCATATCAGCTGTCTAATTCTTGTCCACTTTATATACACGGTCTGTCTGTATACTGAGAAATTCACAAACCGCTTTGGAATCGAACCTGTAAAGACCGCGTTCGCATTAGAAGATGTACATTACTGTGTTGATTCTCGCAAGACATGGTCAGATCAGAGGGTCCAATCTCGAGACGACAGTATTGCAGTATTTTTAAAACATTTACAGCCGATACAGTTGCTTAAGACTAATGTCCAGCAATGGTTAACATTTAGCGTCAGAAGTGTGAAAAGCTGTGAAAGTATCGGTGAATCACTTGTAACAGAAATGAAGACTTGGTTTTTGGTCCTCTAATAATGCAATGAAGATGAGTTTTCCGCCTTTTGTTATTTCTATGATGAATCCTTTGAAATATGTCCTGTTGAGTCCACAGTAGTGCATAGTCCTCTAGTGTTATGTACAAATGAAGGCTTTACCGATTCAGTTATTGAGACAGTAACCATGTCTTGTTTGTGTATATGTGATATTAATCAATGGTTGTTGGATTCCGAAAGCATAAGTTGTGACCGCCCTCGACCGCCCTTAGTCACCCGACCTTGAGTTAATCTGTGCATAATTCGAAAAAACCAACTATGTACGTGGAATTTATCCTGATTTTTTTTATTTTTTTTTTCCAAGAATATGCAATGTGAACGCTGAAGAATGAAGAAAAACGTTAGGGGGGCGCTGATGGTCCAAACGCGTGAGATTTAGCCACATTTCAACCCCTCTAGAGTCATCAGATCTCGCTAAGCAATGTATAGCCTACTTTACATTTCTTATGAATATAGCCATCTTTTCACTTGCCTTACCCGCTATCATAAACAGCTAACTTTTGTAAAATTGTAAAGAGATGAAAAAAAAAAACAATGACTTGTATCTTAATTTATTGAAATTTGAAAAAAAGAAAAACAAAAAAAAAAAATGAAAAGCTCAATTTAAACAATGCTTGTATGTGTATCTCAAAAATGGTGCAAACGTCAACATGATAGGCTACAAATGGCAATGGAGCTGAACATTTTTCTTTTTTTATTTCGAAATGTTTTTTGTTTTGTTTTTTACGCGCAAGCAGTTCTGTTCTTGTGTACGACCAGTAACCTTAATTTACTGTGTAAAGATGGTTACATTTTTTAGCTTCCTTTGTCAGAAACCTGATTATAGAATGCTTGTTTACTTGTGATATACAGTAGCATTAACCATGTGAAATTTCAATATAAATGTACAGTACACCCGATTGTTTAATTTCGATCCTAATACGCGTTGTTGTGAAAGCGCTTTTACAGTTTCGTAATAACGTAGGGTCTGTTTAGTGTATTAATCTGATCTTTTCAGTTGAACCTTGTCATGCTTTTCGTTTCTTGCTAGTTGCCGAGTGTTATTGGTAATTTTTGTGTGATGGTTGCATTAATTTTTCTTGTGTACATGTATTGGCAGTTTTTTTGTCTTTCTTTTTTTGTTATTATTATTATTATTATTATTATTATTATTATTATTGATCATTGCTCCTTGTCTATAGCTACTACAATGTTCAGATACTACAGTTTCCGGCATGTGCACGACTTTGCTCTTAGAGGCTACCTTATCATTTTCTCTGCTTCAAATAGAAATGTCTATTTATGCATTTTGCTTGTAGTTTTTCACAAATAAAATGTTCAATTTATCTAAAAGTTTTGTTGTCGGTCTCTTTTTACCTCCCTTGCATAGTTGAGTGTTTAGTATGTGCAAATAATAGCTAAAAACAGTTGCTTTGTTGCAATCGCTTCAACCAAGTCATAAAAAACACAAAGTCGTTAATAGTGACAGCGTGAGTGACTGATATTTACTGAACTGATGCTCAGAGATGCAGCACAAATGAACAAGACAAACGGCTTGAGAAATTAGGATGTGAAACAACATTTCGGCTCCGTTTTTGAGCCAGAGAAGCTGCTGTGTGCTGATGTGGTTTATCTGTACACTGTTCAGCTCTGTTTTTAACTGTTTTGCACAAAAATGGTATTTTACTTTGGCTTAAGTTGTTAAACATGGTTCTTAGTACTAATTATATAACAGTAAGTTCTAAATATAAGAACTAAAGTGAACAAAAGTATTTTTAAGCATCTAATAAATATAATCCAACAAATAACGCCATCTAGCCAAGCCGGGTGTGTTTTATTTGTGACACAGAACATAGATTTTTACCAAAACAAAATATTTTTAAATGTAACTGTATAAATATCAGAACTTATAGGTGACTTAGGTTAGAAAGTATCAGTATCGCTATTGGTACTCGGTATTGGCTGACACTAAGGGGTCAAGTATTGGTATCTGTATCGATGCATCTCTAGAATGGTTGTTACATCTAACATAGTAGCACATTAATGCAATAAAATATATGCCACTCATTTTTTTTGTAACACAGTGTATTTTCCTAGTTTGACCCATCCATTGTAGTGCAGGCTGAGGGCCAGTTACAGTGCGCAGTATGTTGCTCTGATAGAATTCACAATTGTAGCCGTCTTATTCAACTTACCTTAAGCAGACTACACTAGACGTTGCTCTCTTGTACTATAGATAATTTAATGAGCAGCAAAGTGGAGCTCCAGTTTTTCAAGAGCCTCCGCTGTGACGTGAGTCCACAAGCTGTATGAATGAGAGCGAGAGGCTACAATGATGGAGGAGCTGGACCTCTAACTGTACATGTAAGATATATCACATGTATATCGCTGTTGTCGGAACAAAACCTCGTATCTCCAAAATAGTAACTTTACAGGAGAAGGAAAAAACCTACTTTGAATGTAAGTCAATGGAACCAGACTTTTTCCCCCTCAGTTTAGGTCATTTCTTTTAGTCCATTCATCATGAAATTTACATACAATGTAAAGAGCAACAGGCATTTTCAAATTATGTTAAAAACCAAAAAGAAGAACCACAAAAATGGGAGATACAAGGTTTTCTTCTGACAGCAGCGATATATACACTCAATGGGCCTCATTCATGAAACCTTCGTTAAAACATGAACAAACTGAGTAAATTAAAGTAAAATGGACCTTCCTGAAAACTCTCTACCAGATTCATGAACACTGCTTAAACAGATTTATTAGTGGAACATGTGTATGTTAATGAATACCAATGATTCCTAAATTGGGCACGCGTACATGTTCATTTACAATTAGCATGCAATTACCATAATCCACGCCCATGAATGAAAACTGACCACCATATAAGGGAGCTCTTGGACTGAGGAACCACAGCCAAAAGCCTCCAAAATGCCTCAGAAAAAGCAAATAATCTGATGTGGAAATTGAGTTTTTTGGAATGAAGTGCATTCAAATCAACACGTTTTACTTTCGAGTGTCCACAGTGGTGTTTTGGGCTCAAAAAAACAATTAATAAATAATTAAATGGATCACGCCGTCTGAAATTCCTGGGAGGATGCGGCTCATAGAGGGCTGAGAAATTCCTGGAACATTCCAGTAGCTAAAAAGCCAAGCACAGATAGCACCTGTACAGGTACGGGAATAGTGTTGGATCTATTGGACTCCCTTCTCGAATCTGGCTCTAAAATGTTGCATAATGCAAAAGAATGGCTCTCGGTAGACGAAAGCGACTGACCAGCCAGTCATCACTCTCAGCTCTCTGCAGAGCTCTGTCTGCTAAATCCAGCAGCAGCACA